AACATGTCTCAGCATATTTTGACGTAACTGGAGATGGTAATTGCGGTTTCCGCGCTATTGCTTTGTCAGTTAAAAAATCTGAAGAATGTTGGCCAGATGTTCGAAAACTCATCTATGATGAACTTTGTAATCGAAAATCACATTATATACAGCTATTTTTGGAAGGTGAAAAGGAGTATAATCGAACCTTATTTGTAACACAATGGGAAGCTGGCCCCTGTAACAGGGATCACTGGATGTTCATGCCCTCCTTTGGTTACATTATTGCTAATGCATTTCAACGACCCGTTCATTACTTTAGCAGACATATTTCTATTACATTTTTACCTGATAATGCACCTTTGAACAGAAATGCATCGATAGTCTTCGCCTATATTCATGAAAAACAACACTTTATAGCTATGAAACTTAAACCTAATGTACCCGTTCCTCCTATTGCAAGTGGTTGGGAAGACATCTGCTCTGAACAAAGCAAGATGTGGAAGAACTTGTTTATTTCAAGAATTGCCCATTTTAAGAAAGAAGATGATGAACGTAAATACTTACAAAAGGAAAATTTATAATGTATTATTGTAAGTCATCGTCAAAATAAAGCTGTTTTCAGTGTCTATTGCTGTACGTATTAAAGAATTGTTATATATGTATCGATATTATATATAAATACAAGTTATAACAAACTTTTGAATCTCGATATACGTAGTGAATTTAATCTCAAAATGGTCATTGTGAATTTTTATACATATTATGTAAATTTACATGATTAACAAACATTTTAATAGGATCGCTTTACCGTAATAGAAGTAATTTATATTATCAGTTATATTTGTCTCTATAAAGATTAAAGTAGAGAAATATGTGATTATATTAGTACCGCCAAATTATCGTCACGTGATCGGTACGTGCCCGTAAGCAGAAATATCACGTGACCGGTACGTGTCCGTAGACTTTCCGCCAAATTGGGACAGAAGCAAATCATGTGAGTATCGACCAATCAAATTTGAGTAAAAAATAAAAATGCCGA